AATTTATCAAACCAACAGAACAAAGTATGCAGAATTGTGTGATACCCGCAGAGATTTTATGAGCAGTGCAGCCGGTGCTCTGCCACTCAGTGTGATGAGTGGTTATGACAGCTGATGATAAGTGGCTGCCAGACGCTGATGTAAAGCACAGCCGCAAAGGCTTTTCTTCTTTCTGGTCCCCAGTGTCCAGAACCACACCCCAGCTCTTGACCCTGAGTGACCCCCTTCAGCAATCCAATTCCATTTCCTGCTGCCAGCTGCCCTGAATGATTACTCTGACTAACTCCATTCATGGAAGAGTGGGGGATAAGGTGGGGGCCGCAGGCTATGAGTGTGTGTGTGTGTGTGTGTGTGTGTGTGTGCCAGCTGAGAGAGTGTGTGTGTGTGTCTGTCCGTCTGTCAGGGTGTGTTTTTGCAGGAGACGCACGTTTTGTGCACAAACTTGAGATTCACGGTGTGTTCGTGTGCGTGGGATTTTGTTCGGTGCTTTGGCAGTTTTTTTTTTGTGTGTGTGTGTGTGTGTGTGTGTGTGTGTCGTTTTTTTTATTACAGGTTTGATTTTGTGTCTGGGAGAGTCCCCTGGCAAAACAAACACAGACACCAATTAAAGCTGCTGCAGTGTCCCAGCCCCTTTACATCACTAATAATGTGCCTGTATAAGAAACAAACTCACCCACACCTCAGCGTTTTCCCCCCCAATATGGACACACTATTATCTGTCAAAGTTTGAACCAGACTGGTTATTTCACATGAAAGAGGTCTGTATTTGTGCTTCTCCTAATTGGGGAAAAGGGAATGTCAGCTTTTTCCATGCACCAATCAGAATCTGATTACAGTTTTTTGATTGTTTGTTTACGTTACCAGGGAAACACCACTGTTAATCAAAACCTGATCAAAGCACGCCCACACAGTGCTGCCAGCTGCACCAGCTCTTCGTAACTTGGCCTAGTTAAAATCAGTGTTTATAAAGTGGAAATTAACACATCATTAAATTAAAAGTAGTTCTTAACTTAATTGATAAATATATTTTAGGGGCTTTTTTGCCTTTATTGGATAGGATATCTGAAGATTGACTGGAAAAGGGGGGATGTCATGCAGCGAAGGGCCACAGGTCAGATTTGAACCCATGGCCGCTGCAGCAAGGACTCAGCCTTGGTACACGGGGCACCAGCTCTAACCAGGTGAGCCATAAGGCGCCCCAGAGATTCCCAGAACTTCCAGGTGTGACAGTGCAGACACACAGAAAACTTCAGAGGACGCTGAATGCTCCGGCTGGTGGGTGAAGAAACTGCTAGCTGGGCGGTGCTTGGGTTTTGGATCTGCTTCTTTCAACGTGGCCGGCCAAAGCCCAGAATCGTTACCATATTAACAGCAGACTAAAATATGTTTCTGAAAAGATGTGAAGCGAGAAACAGGTAAAGTCTTCCAGATTCATATTTAATCAGCATTGACCCATTTTACAGTTTGATCTAAGGTTCGTGAATCTGCTGCTGTTGCGACGGGTGGACTTCATTTGCATAAATTTGAAGTTGAGTCGTGTTTATGCAACTTCAGACACAAAATGATCAAAATGTGGTTTAATAATAACCAAATTCTCTCCCAATACAATAACAACAATAACCTAAATGACCAAATAACATCAGTTAGTTCAGCAGACGCAGATATTTCCCATTCACTCTAATCTGAATAAAGACTACTGAGACTGAAACACTTATGCAGATATAAATAAACTGTTTTTTTTAAGTTGTTAGCTACAGCTTGTGATGCTACAATGACCTCCTGTTTGTTAATTGCTTTACTTGTTTCCTGGCAACAGAATACGCTTCAAGTCTTCACTAGCTGAGACATTTTTCAAGTTTTAATGCTGCATTTTGTACAATCAGTAGTTTGACGCTAATCGTTACTGTGAGAACGTGAGAAAATGTAGTAATTGATTTGTGAATAACTTTTTAAATAAGTTGCTTACTGAGTCACAAATATTAAATGATTTTGATTTTAAAGGTCCAGTGTGAAACATTTAGGAGAATCTCTTGGCAGAAGTGGAATATAATATGAATAACTATGTTTTCTTTGATGTATAATCAAATGAAAACAACAATTGTTATGTTTTTGTTACCTTAGAAAGAGCTCTTCCATTTTTAATCACATCCTTTCTACAGAATGGATGCTTTTCGCAACCACCATAGTTACTCCTTCCCTCACTTTACCCTCCAATAAATGTGCAAATAAAATCTAGAACCTATAAATAAAGCCCTATCTACAGCCAGTGTTTGGCATGTTCCTGCTGGGCTACTGTAGAAACATATCAATGGTGGCTTCTGTAGATATAAACATCTCATTCTAAGTTAACAAAAACACAACAATTCTTATTTCCAGGTGATTATACAATAATGAAAACATACCTATGAATATTACATCCTATTTCTGCCAATACATCCTCCTAAATGTTACACACTGGACCTTTAAATGGACCTTTAAAGACGTTTTTTGCTTTAATAGAGAAAATAGACATCATGTTGTTAAAAAGTCATTATTTTATTTCCAGGGCCATTATGTTGGCTATAATTTCAATAAACATAGATAATGTGATGTCAAAGTTAGACATTTCCAGCATAGATACAGAAAAATCATTTTTGTAACACTGCTGCAGTAAATGTCAAGTGTTGTTGAGAAACATTTTTCTCTCTTGACTGAATAATTTTTAATTACCATCAACTGGGAGAAATCTTTTGTACTGAGCTGGAAAGACTGAGATCCCCACAGACAGCAGCCTCAACAGGCCAGAGTGCATTGCAGGTTGGGTTTTTGATTCAGATCACTGACTTCCATGTTTTTCAAAATTGTGAGAACTCACTGTCTTGCTTTTACTATGCGAGACCACTCTCTCCAAACCCACGTACTTAATTCAACAAGCTCACAGCTGTTCTCTGATGGCTGTCAAAAACGTAAATCAGGCAACGTGTAAGAAGAAACCGAGTGAAGCAGATGAGTCAGGCTGAAGAGAAGTGGGGAATTCTCAAAACACTTCATCACAAAATAACTCATCTGAGAAGGGACTTTTCCTTTCATGTGAGCAAAGGGAGACACCAGCCACACCCTCAAGATGTAATTATTCCAAAACAATAAATATGAGGGGCTGATAAAGCTGATTCCACCTATTAATTACATTAACGAGGCGAGAGTGAGCGAAGGTCGTGTGGAGGATAATGCGATCCTGCTGGCCGTAAGCACTTCCAATTACAGAGGGTGCACAGCACAGCTTTCTGCGCACCGTAAGCAGGGGATACAATTGTCCATTCACAGCATCTTCTGTCAGAGCAGGCTATCCATTACTTCCTCCCTGCTGAATGCAATGTAACAGTTCACTCCAATATAGCAGCTGCAGTGGTTTTGTTTTTTGATAAGCGGGTGAAGTGGGCTTGATGGAGGCAGTTGTTAAAATGCTGTTTTTCCTTTTCACTGATTCACAGGCCTCCCATGAGCAATTAAGTAACACCAATTACCAGGAGAGCTTTACCCCAGGGGTTTGTTGATTCTCTCTCTGTGTGCTTTTGAACATCTGCAGTCAACCCCCCCCCAAGAGTATTTGGGGTAAACTGAGCTTCCCTGTCGTCGGTGCATAACCACAAAATCTAATTACGCCTCCTGTGGTATTTCTATTTGCGTTTCAACAAATCCGACAAATACAAGCATCACTTCAGCGTGTCACAATAATATTAGGCAGAACTTCTTTGGAGTTCAACATGCAGTTGTTGTTTTTGTAAACCAGATCAGCGCAGATTCGTTAGCTGCATAATTCAGTGAAGTGCTGTTTCTGGCGAGGTGGAAAAATGAAGGCAGACACCAGCCCCTGGTTTGATTTCCCCTGCAGCTACGGTATACACACAGGCCTTCAACATACAAGTCTGCACAGGCATGTAAACATGAGAGTCACTGAAATAGCAGCATCGTTAGAAGCGGTGATGCAGTGGTGAACCGAAAGATGGGTCTGAAATCATCATACGGCAAACCACCAACCACCAATGTAAACAAAAAATATATTTCAGGAAAACATATCTCGTGTTTTACCTTTAAAAAAAAATCCTATTCATTTTGTACAACTCAACGTGATGCATGGTTTACTTTGAACTTAATGTATACGTTTAAATCTTAATACAACACTAACATGCCCACATGTACAGTAGTTATTGGTCGCTGTAATTGTTCCTCTTGTCCATACTGGCTGTAAAAAGATCACATTTAATACATTTTAAAGTTTATCTGACATGTTGGTATGTGTTTGTGTTTGTTGTGCGGGGATAATAACACAAAGAGATAAGTTTGTGCTAAAAAGTCACTTTAAAAAGACCCACTTTAGCCTCCACAAAGCCTCCTAATTCATTTGAATGAGGTCAGACTGGCAACACAAGCTCACATGCCTGGTACTGTAACATGAACACTGTATTTCTAATTCGTGATCGAAGAGGGAACGATAAAATAATAAATACCGCTGTGCTAAATTGCTTAATAGAGTTGTTCTGGCATCTGATAAGTCTTCAACTCATCGATATTTCTGCTCAGTTTGGGCCTGGATTGTTTCACCAGAAACTGAAACAACACGCTCCCACCAACACAGCCTCAGCTATTGTTTCTCCTGCAAATCCAACGTTAAAGCCTCATATTCGCTTCAGCTGAGCGTTAAAATGCATTTGTACTCAAGAAAGACTGTGGATTTGGTCCCCAATCACTCAGACTGGAATTTCTTCAGGGCCAGTATGAATAGAAGAAACACTCAAATACAGAAAACAAAAGCTCTTTCAATGAATAAGGACATGTGCATTGTATTAAAACAGACTTGAACTTATCATTTTAAAAAAAGAGTCTATATTAACCAAAACCGCCCCAGATGTTAGAAATAAAAAAGGAATTAAACACCACACAACATCCCGGATTATAGAACAGCACTGGTAGGATTTCCTAAGCACTTTTCTGAGTCTTTTCTGCTTGTCCTGTCCATAAATTCAGCTGAGCACCTCTAAATCCTCATCAGCCACTGACAAATGTGAGCAGGATTCCCGAGTCGGGCTGGAGCCTGCTTTCAAATTGATCGAGCCGTACAACTTTGCTGCGTGTTTGGAATAGGCAAAGGCTTTCCTCCTCATCATCTCCCCTTTCCACATGGAGATCATGAGCAGGGTGGAGAGCAGCACGCCCCCGAGGGTGAGCAGGCACAGTCCCGCTATGACACACCGGTCCAGATGGGCCCCCACCCTGGCTTTCTCCCTCTCCAGCTGCTCCATCTCCCGGGCGGACACGCTGTCGGGGTCCGCCCGGACGTCCCTGGGCACCGTGTAGGATATGGCCACCAAAGAGATACCAGTCACCAGGCATGTCACCGCGATGATGAAGCCGTAATCCACAGACTTCCCCGAGCCGTCAGAGGAGAGGTCGTCGTCGGACAGCAAGTAAAGTTCCGGGATGTCCTCTTCCTCCTCCTCCTCGTACAGTTCACTTGAGGAGCTCTGACTCAGTCTGCATGTTTGTGGACTTGTCCCTATCAGCTGGACATCGTCATCCTCCTCATCCTCTCGGTGCTTGCAGGTGAAAGATGTTTCTGTTTCCTCCTCCGACCACGCGGCTCTCCGGGTCTCTGTCCAGGGTGCTGAACCGTCTCCTCCGCCGGGATGAGGACACTTTCCGCCGCTGCAGCCGAGCTCGTTGATACTTTGCTCATTTAAAACCAGGGAGGCGTCTCTCGGATCGGGTTGATCAAAGTAAAACAGTTCGAGATCAGCCATTTGAACATCGGGCTGGGTTTCCCGTTGTGTCAATCCCATGCGTCCGTCTCTGTCAGTAAAACACGCACAAAGAGAGAAAACAATATGATGTTTGAACTACCTGAAAGCACTTTCATTTTTACTGCAAGCCACTTTATATCTGCACACGAAGTATTTGCACAAGCGAAATGTACACGCAGCTTTCTCTTGGGTGCACAGCAAGCATTTTAAAGTACAGCTAAGCAAGTCTTAAACGAATTCCCATGAAAATACACAATGCCATTTCCACTGCTCAGTAACACTTTATCTTTTTGCCTTTATTGAGCCTCTGCAAGCTCTCAAATCGCTGCTTCCAAAAACACTTAGCAACCACAAGACACGCCAATAGATCTAATTCCATCTAATGTGCTTCAATAGTCGGTTATTAAACAACAAAATGCGGTTTTCTGAGTACCTCTCTCTCCGTCTGTGGCTGCTCGCATCCCCGACTGCTTCTGCTCCCTGGTCAATTAGAGGGAAAGGTTTGGCAGACCCCTCCCACGGACTGAGCTCAGGCAGACCGCCTTATAATGCTTATTACCGAGCCAACTTTAGTGTTCCCCGGCACATGCACACTAATCAGATGAGAGTCAGCAGGCGGCAGACTGCACTGTAGGCAAAGAGAGTGGAGATATTTCAAATTACAGCAACACCTTCTCATAAGACACTCCATGCACAGGCTTTATGAGCAGCACCTGACGGCTGAATTCATAGTTAATAGATGTTTCATAGATCAGCTATAAGCCATTAATAAGATCAACCTTTGGGTTGCCAGGTTGTGAGAGATCTGTCTTACTGGTGAGTCATTTAATGGTGAAGTCACGATGTTCTCACTTTCTAAATGAACCATCAAGGCTGCAGTTAAATGCAAATAAGTAATGTAATGGACAGGACGTGTTAATAACACCATTAATGAAGGGTCACGAGTTTCTCACTTTCTAGTAAGTCACAGCAAGAGTTAATAAATCATCTGCAATCAGCCCACAGGAGCCCACAGTCATAAAGCAGTTCTGCCAGGCTGAGTGCTAAAGCATGCTAACATGCTGGTGTGAAGCAGGTAAATCTTTAATCATTTTTACCATTTTAGTTTAGCATGTTAGCATGCTGTCATTTGCTAATCAGTGTTAAACACAAAGCACAGTTGAAGCTGATGGGGATGTTGTTAATTTTTGCAGGTATTTGCTCCAAAACCGAAGTATTGAATAAAGAACATTTTTGATTTGATGGAAAGTCAGAAAATCTCCAACGTTTATACAGTTCATCCTGAGGGGAACATGAATGCCTGCACCAAATTTCATGACAATCCAGGAGGTAGTTGTCCAGACATTTCAGTCAAAACAGAACAGGTTAGAGGAAAAGTTAGACAATCATTAATGTCATTAGGATTCATCCTCTGGGGACCATGAACGTCCATACAAAATCTAATGCCAATCCAGTAGGTGATGAGATATTTCTCAGTTTAAGTGAAAACTGTGACCTGCTGGTGGTGCTAGAGGAAAAATCGAGGGATTATCAAAGTCAGTATGATTCACTCTCTGGGAACCGTGAATGTTGTAATAAATTATATAACAATCCATCTAATAGATTCTTCAGGTAGGACCAAAGGGCCCCATACTTACATATAGCTGCTAATGTGGTTAATAGATCTAATAGGGGCTTTTACAATAAATCATGGAAATGGAAATGTCAATACATTGATTTTCATTCAGATGCCTTGCAGTCATTTTGCAAGAGGTCAGAGGTCAGTAGCCCTGAAGGGCTAAAACAAACAAAGCGAGTGTCCTGCTGGAGGAGGAAAAACACCACCAGAGACAACCTGGCAACCAAAAGTTGTTATTAATGATGATGTATATCTGATCAATATCATTTATTAACCACAAATGAAGTCATTAGTTACTCACCCTTTAGCGGTTTATAGTAAGAGAAATGAACATATTAAAGAGTTCCTGTATGTGTAGCTGTTGTTTGTCATGACAAGCAGAAATTAGCGTATTTAAAAAAAATGTGATTTATGCTTTATTGATCGCCGATCATTTTCTTTTCAGGCATTGCCCCCCTTTTTACGAACGTCAGAGGTGAGCTGGAGAGTAGGAGTCATCCAAAGAAAACATTGTCTTGCTCAGCCACAGCTGTAGCCTGCAGGATTTTTATAAATACTGAAGTCAAGGTTTCAAGTCCCCTCCAATGCACACACCCCCACAGCCACCTTTATATTTATTTAAGCTACTTGGATTGTTATAGTTTATGTGTTCAGTTAAATGTTCAGTTATGTTTTCTGTCCCTCAGTGTCCACTTATCTGTTACAGTTATTTAAGTGGACATTGGAGACATTGTGAGTTGTTTATTTCTATATTTGCTTACTTTAGGCTCAGCACTTTTGGTTTGGATTTGCGTGCTTACACTTATTTCTTTTGCATGCAGCCTACTTTTGGAGGTATGATTCCTTTTTGAGAAAGAATTAAGTATGGAAGCTTTATACTATATACTGTGTAGTGTTCTGATTGGTAAGGCAATATCCTCTAAATAATCATTTTAAACACATAAATGTAAGAAACTGTAAGATACCGTAATGTTAGCAATTAAAGTAGATATGAGAAATGGTAAATTAATGCTGTTCCAACGTGTGTTTGTGGGTGTCTGCAGGCACATACTTCATGACACCCCTGCATATGTCAATTCCCCACTAGGGTCACCCCAGTCAAATACGTCTGGACACCCCTCAGCAAGAAAGGAAGAAATAAGCTTAATTCATCCCCCAAATGTTGAAATACTCCTTTAAATATGAAGGGTCTCAGAGAAACATATACAGATGACCTGATCTCAGTGTCCTTAGTGGTATCTGCTATGTGATCAACTGCCCATCAGCAACAAGGGATCTTCTAGTGGAAGAACAGTCCCATTAATCACTGCAGCATCCTTCTTTCCGGGAACACATTTAACGTCATTATCTGTATAATATGCATTCAAACAATATCACTGCAACAAAGAAACTTATTTAAGTCCAGAAAACGGGATTCTCCTCCCTTGAAATTAATGTTCCTGACTGGCCCATTTTTAAAAGAGGACCATGAAGCTGGAAGAAAAGCTCTGTTTTGATATTAAATCAAAACCATGTCAAATCCTATACAGTCAATGCTGAGTGAAAAGCTCATATATCCAAACTGGTTGCTTCTCAAGAACCAACAAAAACACCCACTTCACCATCACATTATATATATAAAATAGTTAAACAGAAGGTAACATACACCAAGGGCTATACATTTCTGACATAAAAGCTACAATATGCAGGAATATAGATATTCTGCTGGCTGAGCCTGTTATAGAAAATCCTCCTGCGTGCACTGAACGGTCTCTGCAGAGCACTGGAGCATATGTAGGCTATAGGTAGCCAAAGGTCATGATTATAATGCACCTCAGTGCTCCACAATTCAATGCAATATTTTCTTTTACTTAACATTAGCAATGATTCTTGTGGGTATTGAATACATACTGCGTGCTGTCCTCGCTGTACATTCAGCGGTCAGGACCTTTTCAGAGGGAGGAGAGAGCGAGGGCTTCAGGGTGACTTTAACATTTCTCACAGATAAAGAGGAAGCTATTTGTACAGCACAGCATATAGATGTATAGTCTGTGGAGGGTTCAGGCAAGCTGGGAATGATAATAAACCTCTGACACTTTCTATTGACTAAATGATTGATTCATTTATAAACAAGTGTTTGGAAAACAACATTACTGAAATCTAAAGCTCGTGTATCAAAATCATAATTAAAACTACAAGTATTTTTTTTATGTGCTTTGAACTCTTATTTCTGGATAGACAACATTCAAAAATGAAATCTCTCTCACCGACTTTCATACTTACACTAAAAGATTAAAAGCTTTTCACATTTTAGGGACAAAGCTCTAGCATAAATACACCTTGAGTAAGCAAACAGAAATAAAATAACACAAAAAAATGAAAAGAAGAAATGAATCTCACTGGCAATTATAAAATATATTAAATAAATAAATGAATAAAAACACAATATGGATGAAGGTATGTGGACACCCCTGTCCATCTGTTTTTGGTGGTGGGATGTTTTCAACATTTGGCTCATTAGTTCCAGTAAAGAGAAATTTTAATGCGACAGCACACATTAAAGTCCTCCTCCACTCAGAAATATGTTTTTCTTCTTGTTCCTACAGTGGGATGTTTGAGCTTCACTGTGCAGGATGATGTATGTGCAGAGTTTGACACT